GAAAAAATGAGAAAAACTCATGATCCTCTTGAGAATCCAACCATTGAAGAAAGGGAAGTATCTTATCCAAGAGAGTACAACTATGTCAAGGATGGTGAAATTATAGGTGATCCATCAAAAGGGGTAACAACTCGATCTTCTCTTAGAAATATTTGTAATTATGTTGCATTTATCTCATGCATAGAGCCTAAGAATATTAAAGAAGCATTAAATGATGAACATTGGATTATGGATATGCAAAAAGAGTTAAATCAACTTGAGAGAAGTAAAGTATGGACATTAGTTGAAAGGCCTAGTAATAAATCTATTGTAGGTACTAGATGGGTATTTAGGAATACGCTTGATGAGAGTGGTAATATAGTGAGAAACAAGGCTAGACTTGTTGCTCAAGGGTATACTCAAGAAGAGGGCATAGACTATGATGAAACATACGCTCCCGTAGCTAGGATGGAAGCAATTAGAATGTCATTAGCATTTGCATGTTTTCATGAATTTAAATTATATCAAATGGATGTTAAAAGTGCATTTTTAAATGGTTTTATAAAAGAAGAAGTGTATGTGGAACAACCTCCAGGTTTTGAAGATTCAAAATTTCCAGATCATGTTCTTAAATTGACAAAAGCTCTTTATGGTTTAAAACAAGCTCCTAGAGCTTGGTATGAAAGATTGTCAAATTTTTTAATTGAAAAAGGTTTTTCAAAAAGAAAGGTTGACACTACATTGTTTTTAAAGCATAAAGGTAAAGATTTATTAGTAGTTCAAATTTATGTTGATGATATAATATTTGGTTCTACTAATGATGTTCTTTGCCAAGAATTTTCTAAGCTAATGCAAAGTGAGTTTGAGATGAGCATGATGGGGGAGCTCTCATTTTTCTTGGGACTCCAAATCAAGCAAAGAAAAGATGGCATCTTCATTAATCAAGCTAAGTACGTCAAAGATATGCTCAAGAAGTTTGGACTGGAAAATGGGAAACCTCATGACACTCCAATGAGCTCTTCAACAAAGCTTGACTTAGATGAAGGAGGTAAATGTGTAGATGTTAAATTATATAGGTCAATGATTGGCTCTTTGTTTTATCTAACTGCAAGTAGACCGGACATTATGTTTAGTGTTTGTTTATGTGCTAGATTTCAATCATGTCCTAAGGAATCACATTTACTAGCTGTTAAGAGAATCTTTAGATACCTTAAGGACACTCCTAGTTTAGGACTTTGGTATCCTATAGACTCTAGCTTTAGCTTGCATGCCTTTTCTGATGCGGATTATGGAGGATGCAAATTAGATAGGAAAAGCACCTCCGGTACTTGTCAATTCCTTGGAAATATGCTGATTTCTTGGTTTTCAAAGAAGCAAAATTGTGTTGCACTATCTACCACTGAAGCGGAATACATTTCAGCCGGTAGTTGTTGTGCACAAGTTTTATGGATGAAACAACAACTTTTTGATTATGGAATTGAAGTAGGTACCATTCCTATCAAGTGTGACAATACTAGTGCTATTTGTCTCACTAAAATCCATCCAACACTCTAGAACTAAGCACATTGAAATAAGACATCACTTCATTAGAGACCATGTCACTAAGGAAGATGTAGTTCTAGAATATGTTGATACTTTTCATCAATTAGCAGATATCTTTACAAAACCCTTAGACAAGGAAAGGTTTTGGACGCTTAGAAGAGAATTAGGTTTAACTGACCTATCTTCACTTAGTGTTTAAAATAATTTAGCACTTTTAATAAATACTGAAAAATGCTTATAATAATAATTTTTGATTGCATTCTTGCTATTAGTTAGGGGGAGTTTATGATTCTTAGTGAAAATTAATTTTATGTTCAAATAATGTTTAAAGATTAATTTAATTGATTGAACATAATTAATTTTTGATATATGAGTTGCCAACACCACTAGAGCCTATTAATTTAGCATTTTTTGAAACAGATTTTTCTTTTGACATTTTTGTGCTTAATGCACCGATGCACTTAACAATGCATCGATACATCTCTTTGAATGTGCATCGATGCATCCGCATGATGCACCGATGCATGCATTGAATATGCATCGATGCATAAGACCATGCACCGATGCATCCGTCGGGTTTTAGGTTAAAATGCTTCATTTTCTTCATTTTTCTCAAAACCTAAAACACTAAACACACGGCCGTTCGTCCCCCTCTCCCTCAAATCTATATTTTTGCTCAAAATCTTCGGGAAATCATCGAATTCTTCAAGATTTTTATCCTACAAACCTGCTACAATCATTAAATCGCTCAAAACATCTCCACATTCCCCTCAATCCAAATTTTTCAAGGTAATTTTTCAAAAACTCTATTTTATTAATTTTTGAACTTAGGACTCGTTTAGATTAGTTCTAGTTTGAAATAATTATCGGGCATTGGTTATATGATGATTCTAAACTAGTTTCTACAACGAATTTCATTAAAAACACATAATTTTTCAAAATTAAAATTTCAAATTTAAAAAAAAAATTAAAATTAAGTGATAGTTTTGATTTAATTGTGTTGTTTTCATGAAAACTATACATATTATGATATTATTTTAAAATAGTTTTTCAAAACTTTGCCCATTAGGATTATGTTAGAGAACCTTGAATTATTGAGGACTCATTTGAGTTTTGGGATTGATTTTTGTGCATACATGTGTTTTTAAATTGCAGGTGATATTTCTTTTCCGATTTCCCTAACCATGTCTAATCCCAAACGCCCTAGGTCATCCTCGAGTCGGTCTCACCAAAACTGTCCTCCCGCTCCTAGACCTCAAAATCCATCCAATATTCCTTCATCCCTCATTAGTACTTGTTTTAACATGCCTGAAAACCGTAGGGATGAATTGTACTCTAGGTACATGAACTCCTTCCAATCCTATCGTATTAGGGAAGAGCGTATTCCTTCTCTACAAGCTATGATAAAACTTGAATTTGAATACCTTTCAATTCTTCGCCGATGGAAGTTTGATAAACTCTTTTCTCTTCAACCCATCGTCTTTCACCAACTTGTCCGCATCTTTTATTCCAATGCGGTTTGTATTCAGAACACAACTCAGTGCGGTACTATAGTGATTAGATCCTATCTTTTAGGACAATATATCACTATTACTTCTGAATCTATCGTATCTCATTTTGGTTTAGATGACGAGGGTTTATTTAATGAGAAGGAAGATGTGGAATATCCATATCTCCCTAATGTTAGTGTCAGTACCTTTAGGTCTCACCACGATCGATTTCTTCACTTAATGATCTCTTGGTGGTTTAGACCATCCGCAGGTCGGTACTCCACACTACGTACTACAAACTTATGGTGGATGCACTATATAAAGAACAAAAAGAAAATCAATTTTCCACATACTGTCTTTAGCGCGCTTGTCGATATCATAAACATCATTCCCTCAAAGCATGTAGAAACCCTACCTTATGGTTGTCTACTAAGCAATTTGTTTATCAAACTCGGCCTAGATGTCTCCCTTGACAATCCTATCCTGCTCCAAAACCCAATCAATATCACATCCTTAAAGAAATCGGATTAGAAATTGGATGAGAACACCGGACTATGGTCTTTTCGACCCGGTAAGCAAACCCCGGGAGCTAGTTCTTCACGAACTGCTCCTAGTTCTTCTCGTGCTCCTCCTCCTCCTCCAGCTCCTGACGCTGATGATGATCCAGAGCTTCAAAGGCTTATGAGAGATATTGACGAGGAAGTACCAGCTCGGCAAGATGATCAAACGCCACCTTATTTCTGATCTTTTCTAGAGTCGTTTAATCTACGTTTTGCCTCCATTGAGTATACGATTTCTGAGTTTCAGAGGGAGATGCGTGATCGTATGGATGCTCTGACTCTTGAAGTTCGAGCTCATTATTCTCCTCCTCCCGATCCTCCGATGGAGTAGACTTGCTTGTCATGTTTTCTTGTTTTTTAAAACTTGGATTGATTTTGATTTTTGTGCTTTGTTTGGTACTTTGAACTTGATTAGTTGTTGGATGTTTGTTTGAGGATGCTTGAACTTATTTGGTTTGACATTTTAACGCTTTCTGTTTATTAATTTTGCATCATTAGAAATTTATGACCAAATTATGCCATTTCACATTTTATTATGAATATTGTTTATGAAAACTAATGGCTAATCTCTCTTTTGATTGTGATCTTAGCAGCTTATTATTAATAAATCAATTGGCTAATGTTATATAGAGTCTTTTTGATTTAACAAAAAGGGGGAGAAAATTTAAGATGTGCTATAGTAAGGGGGAGTAAGTTTTTTGATGTGCTATAGTAAGGAGGAGTAAGTTTTTCAAAAATCAATTTCAAAAATAATTTCTTAAACAAATCTTAAAATTACTCAAATGTTTTGTTATATCAAAAAGGGGGAGATTGTTGAAAACATTTTTTTTGATATTTCGATATAACAAATTAAGTTAAATGAATTTTAAGATTTTACAAATGATTTTACAAATTATATTCGATTCAGTTAATTGAATATCAAATTATTACTCCAAGTTTTTCAAGATCAATTTTAATCCTTACTAAATGTGTAAAAATTGTGATTTGTACTTAAACTATTTTTGAAATAATTTTCACAAAGTATTTTGAACCAAAATCAAGCCTTAAATCAGTTTTTCAAAGGCATGCACCGATGCATTCTCCATGCATCGATGCATCAGACTATTTTTCAAACATCGAATGCATTTCATGCATCGATGCATCCTTAGTGCACCGATGCACTAAGTGTCCCAACGGTCAAAATATTTGAATTTTACACGAATGCACCGATGCATCCTTGATCATGCATCGATGCATAAGACGCTCCACCTAGAAAAATTAATTGCTTTCACACTTAAACGGCTATATGATCTTCACTAATCATCCCCAACGTTCAAAAGTGATTCAAGGTGTATTTAAACAAGTTCTGAAGCCCTTGATCAACAAGAAATCATAGAGAAACAAGAGAGAAAGCATCAAACACCAAGTTTGTGCAAATCAAGCCAATTTTCCTTTCAATATTCATTTTGCTTTCAAGAACACCATTTGTGCTCATTTGTAATTATCTTTGAGTGTTCTTTTCTTGTTCTAGAATTGTGCAAACATCTTACCTTGTGAGGTTTTCCTTGTAAGTTTGCAAATTTGTAATCTTCTCTTTGGGAAAAGAGTGTTCTCAAGAATTGGGGTATATTCTTGAGGGTATTGTAAGGTTATCTCTTTGGCCTCAAAAGAAACAACAAATTAGTGAATTTGTTGGAAAATCCTTAGTGTTGATAGCTAAGGTAGTGGACGTAGACTTTGATTGAGAAAGTCGAACCACTCTAAATCAATGTGCAAATCTTTTCAATTTTCTACAAAAGCTTCCACCGAATTTTTAATTGCCAATTCACCCCCCTCTTGGCTAATTCCGTCGATCGATTAACTCAACAGAAGTGAACATGTATTCTAGTTTATTATTTTTGTATAATTTGATGAGATTATAAAATAGTATTCGATAAAATTATTCAAATAGAGAAGTGAAAAATACATTCAAGTAGAGATTATCGAAATTTATTTTCTTAAGTAGGGTTATATCTACAATAAAATAAAGAAGATAGTTAATACCACCCGTAACCCAATGTCTTCATGAAAAAGTATGAAAGATCTCATGTCTTCTTCAAACAAACACACGGGAATACACCGTGTCTCATGCCGAAGACATCGGGTGGTCTAAACATCTTCTCCAAACACCGTAACATTCACCCCATTTGAATTAATAAAATCTGCATCATCCCTTATAAAAAATCATTTTTTCAACTCATTATCCGAGCAAATTTATCTATAATATTTTGTTCAAAAATCTTTCTTAAGAATTGATAATACATATATTCTATTTACGCAACTACTCGAACTTAAATTTTATAAAAAAAATAATATTCTCTTTAACTATTAAAAGTTTAATAGGTTCAATTTGTTACGTTTTCTATGACTTAAAGAATGTAATTATAATTTTGATATATAATAAGCAGTTATGTCAAAGAGACATCAGTTAATAATGTCATGTACGGGAAAAAAGTAAAAAAAAATTAAAAAGATTTGTTCATGGATAACATCTAAAAATGACACCATTATTAAAAACCAAACCACGTTCATATCATTACCTGCCTCTCGAGCAAAACGCCGATTCAAAATCATTTTACGAACCCTAAATAGTAACTATAGTCTTATATCGCATAGATATATAGCATCAAAATCCATTCCTCCATCTTCTCTAAGAAAACCAGCTAAATATACGATCAACGGGAGCCCATAAGCTTCCTTGATGCAAGCCTTCGTTTTCTTAACCGCTCTGCGATAATGAAGGCGAGCTCTAGAGATTGAGAAGCATTCAGCCTCGGATCGCAATGGGTGTGATAGCGCGAACTCAAATCATTATAGGTTATAGTTCTTGAGCCTCCAACACATTCAGTCACATTCTGCCCCGTCATCTCTAAATGAATTCCTCCAGGATAGCTACCTTCTTGATCATGCACATCGAAGAATGCCCTCACTTCAGCCTACAATAACATAAATCATAATTAAGAGCTACTATAATAGGATTTGAGAAATGTTTTTTTCCTCCATAAATTACACTTGCATATCGTAAATCAATGCCTTCTTTAGTAACTCGAAAAAGGTTATAGTCAAAAAGTCGTCGAAAAGAAATTATTTCAGTAACCGTACCCTAATGGCATCAAAGGAACGAGTTTTCAGTCCACAAGGAGCTTTAATGGTGTTCCCATGCATGGGGTCACTAACCCAAGTTACAATCTGCCCAGCTCTGCGAACCGCCCTGATCAAATGGGGAAGTTTCACTCGCATATTCTCAGCTCCCATCCTTACGATGACTGTTGTTCTGCCAGGCTTGTTCAGAGGATTTAGAATTTCAATGAGCCTAACTAGCTCACTAGGATCCATCTTATCACTAACCTGCAGAACAATGATAACTTAAATTCTTTTGTATGGAAACTCACAGTTACTAACTTAAATTCTTTTGTATGGAAACTCACAGTTACTAATCACCAACATCAACTGCTTTAAAAGAACTACCTAATGGTTAGTGAAAATTATTGACACAATAAAAAGTTTAGTGCACTTAGCTGAAGCATAAAGCGCACCTTTTCCAAGAGGATTAGCAACTCCCCTTAAAAATTCAACATGAGCACCATCAAGCTGGCGGGTTCGTTCCCCAACCCAAAGCATGTGCGCGGAGCAGTCATAGTAAAGCCCGGTGGTTGAATCCTCCCTAGTGAGTGCCTGCTCATAAGGCAAGAGCAAGCACTCATGAGATGTCCAAAAATCTGTAGTTGTCATAATAGGGTGACCAACTGTGAGACCAGCTGCAGCCATGAACCCCATTGCCTCATCTACTCGGTGAGCCAGTTCACGATACCTGCTCAGACAAACCAAAAAGAACATTTCCAACATTAAAAATATCAAAGATCTCAATGAAAATTAACTAGAACAATCCTACAGGAACAACTTCAAGTAAATGGTCTCTAGATATTGGGGTAAAGCATTTTGCATCCCAGATAACAATGCAATATCAGATATAAAACAGACATGAACCCAAGAAAGAAAAGCCTTTCTAATCTACCGTACTTACATTCCTAATGTTAAGAACTAGAGAGAAAATTACCTATAGATGATAAGTAAAAAGAAAGGAAACATCAAACATCACTTTCTCATGTATCAGACCTAATGTACAAAGTGAACTTCCATCAAGCTGCTTTATACAACAAAACATCAATAATTGATTTAATAAACACATCATTTAGTTAAAATCTCAAAATTGTAAAGACCAAACTTTTTTATGCATAAAACAATAACTTCATTCAAGGCAAATAAATACCTGTCCCCCTGCTCGCTGTGCTCGGTAAAGTCTAGATTCCATTGAGTGACTCTTTGCATGGCTGCATACCCTCCAGTTGCAAAAGCCCGCAATAGGTTCAAAGTGGCCACTGATTGGCAATAGGCCCTGATCATCCTATGGGGATCTGGAACACGTTCTTTCTCATCGAAAGAATCACCATTTATATTGTCACCTCTGTAAGTCGGAAGCTTCACCCCATCCTTCTCCTCGAATGGATCTGATCTTGGCTTGGCAAACTGACCTGCCATTCTTCCCACCTAAAGAATCATAGCCATGTACTTAAATACATTATTAATTACACTGCCATTGTATATGATAATTCGCTTTATCAGATAGAAAGGCCGGTAATCTTAAATAATCCAGTCCTGTGACCAAGTTTGTGACTTAAGCCCCAATCCCCATAATTCCCATAATTATAATTCTATCACCACAGAAGTAACTAAGAACCTAATTAAGTATTAACAATCAAGAAGACATAAGAAACCAAGTATATATCTTTGATATGAGCAGCTAATTACCCACCAAAACAATGAAACTATGCAATTCTTGGCAGGAAAAGAAAATCTATACAATTCAAACTACCGATAAAAAATTAAAATAAAAGAACAATCATTAATGGAAGGCTAGGATTTCCTATTGTAATAGAACAATCTCAATTCCAAAATAATAAAATAGAATGGAATGAAATGAAACAAATAAAAAGAGAAGGCGATGGACCTTGATAACAGGCATTTGGCCACCGAACATAAGGACGACACCCATCTGGAGAAGGACCCTGAAAGTGTCACGAATGGTATTAGCATTGAACTCCTTGAAGCTCTCGGCACAGTCACCACCTTGTAGCAAGAAAGCATTGCCGAGAGCAGCTTGTCCTAGCTTCTCCTCGAGTTTCCTCGCCTCCCCGGCAAAGACGACCGGAGGGAAAGTGGATAGCGTCTGGAGAACAGATTCGAGGTCGTTTTGGTCTGGGTATTCGGGAAGCTGGAGAGCGTTCTTGGTCATCCAGCTGTCGATGCTCCATTTGGTTGGGATGGAAGGTGAGGCGGTGGAGGCCGCCGCCGCCGACTTAGATGGGTCGGTGGAGATTGAGGTGATGCGTTTGAGGTTGGGAGGGAGGAGAGGGTGGTGATGATGGTGGCGGGAGAGAATAGGGGAACTGGAAGAGAGAAAGGAAGGGGATTGTAGAGCCATTTTGGATTTGTTTATTACTTTTCTGTGCTGGAAGTACAGAGAATGAAGAGGAAGGAATAAAATATGTTAAAAAGGACGTGTCAGATAAGGATGACATCTCTGTTTTTTGGCCTTTTGCAGTGGACAACCAACAAATTCTTTTGACTCGGTTCATTTCAGTTTTGAGTTCAGACGGTTTCCATTTACTTATTTTTTATAGCTTAAATTATTCAAACGGTCATTCAAGTTTTAGGCTGATTGTAATTTCACTATTAAAATAAAATTATTTATAATTAAGTCATTCATCTTTTAAGCTGCTATCGATTTGGTCGTTAAATTCCTTAAAGGTGGTATGGTTCAACACGTCAAATGTTATTTTCTCATAAAATAATGACATATATCAGTATTTTATTATTAAAAATTAATAATTTTCTAACAACAGTTACTAAATTGGTAGCACCCTAAAATTGGATAACTCAAATGTAATAAATTTTGTTTTGGCGAAAAAATTACAAGTGCCCTAAAGGTTCAATGACCATTTAGATCATTTATCCTATTTTATATTATTTTATTTTATATTCGAGGGTCAATTAATATAAAATGGTTAAGAGATTGTTGTTATCTCTTGAGATATTGGATTCAAACACCGCGTATGCATGGACATGAGTGTTCATTATCAAAACAGTTAAAAGTCGATGAACATGTATTACTTTATTCACTTCCCTTAGAATGTGGTTAATTACTACCGTCCAATCTTACCGAATTAGCTTGTCAATATGTTGCACTACATGAAGAACCATGCACATCCGACTTCATATAATGAATGAGCTCATGTGCATCTAGAAAATTATCGAAGATAAGATGATCTGGAATAAATGTGGTTTGATTGTCATCAACGTAAACATGGAGGATAAACTTCAACTAATTAACGGGAACCTTCATGGTGATCTTATAAATGACAGTGCATAATGCTATAGGCCTAACTGTCACATGTGAGTTGGGTCAACAACTTTAGGAATCAAGATAAGGATAATCTTATTAACCAAAGTCATGTGAACCTAACCATGAAGAATATTGAGAGACGGAGAGACTGTATCATCCCCAATGAGAGGCTAAAAGGATGGGAAAAAACTTGCAGGGAGACCATCGATACTTGAAACTTTTGTAGGGTGAATTTGCTGAAATGCAGCATATATCTCATCACTAATATAGGTGGTAGTAAGGGTGCCATTCATATGAGATGTGATGATCACCGGTACAATATCCAATATCACATGAGAAGATGATGGATTCGATGATCGAAAAAAATGTGTAAAGTAGTTAACAGCCTCCCCATGTATTTCGTCTAGATGATCTACCCACAAATTTATCGAATTATATAGACCCTAAATAGAATTTCTACATTGTCGACAACTTGCACGAGCATGAAAATAAGAAGAGTTTCTATCACCATCGACGAGCCAACGGACATGAGCACATTGCCTCCAATACACCTCATCGCAAGAAAGATGATAATGAAAATCGTCTTTCACAGCAGCAAATTCTCAGAGGTCTGTCTCAGTTAATGGACCAGCAAGGAGTTGGTTCAGCCGATGCTTAGAAGTAGAAATGCGTTCCCTATGTTTGGATCGGTATTGATGTTGCCAAAAACACAAGTGGGAACCTACGACCGATAGCTTTGTTAGCGTAGAATCCGGTCCTAGCACTCTTCACACGGTATACGTAGGCAGCCTCTAAACCCCAATAGTGAAGTTATCAGTAAATCGCCTAGGAGTTGTAACAGATGTCTTTGTCGAGGTTTCCAAGACAATAAAACAATGACTAGAAGTCGCTGCATAAACCGAGCTATACCGACAAGATGGATGGGTGTGACGCCATGAGGAAAGTTGATAAGAACCAGTCAAGGCGCTCACAGATACACGTGGATTGCACACAACCCTTATGCCATGTAAATCCTTAGAAGGACGAATATACCATAGACCATTTTGCACAATAACTTGGCGGAAAGCATCAATGTCAGCACGAGGACGGCTACAACCATATGCCTCGTCAAGTAACCAAGGGACGTATAAATAAAAATAATATATTCTTGATATGGTTTATAATTAATTGATAAAATTTTAATTTGAATGATATTTTTAAAATTTTAATTTTAATTGTATTGGATATATATTTTTAATTTAATACATTATTTTAAAAAAAAATTATGTTTACATCGTTAAATTGTAATTTATTTATAGTTTTTAAAGTATAAGTAAGTATGATCATGAGTCAAGTCCGATTGAGTTTTGACCCACTCAAATTTCTTAAAAATTAAATCTTTATGTCCACATTTGATTTGATTCGGATTTAGGAGAATCTCACTTGAACTAATATCTTACTATATTTTTTAGGTAAAAACTCACATTCGATCTAATTTGACCCGATATATATATTTATTAGGTAAAATAAGAATTTAATTGGAGAAAAAATAAAATAAAAAGATATATTTTAATATTAATCTTGTTGCGAATGACGATCAATGAATATTGATGATTGACTGGCGATCACGAACAAAAAGTACAATATCAAAAAACGAAATGTTTAAAAGTTTAATGACAAAACCTGTAAACTTAAAATTCAATTCTTAAAATGAAGTTGTAAATTAAAACTAAAACTAAAACTAAAACTAAAACTAAAATTTAATATTATGATTAAAAAATTAAAAATTTAATTGTATACATAATACCTTACCTGAAATTCAATAGTATCTAATGCAGATTAAAAAAAGAAAAAGAAGGTTCCTTTTATTAAAGAAAAACGACATCCACAGGCAAAATCTACTTTCAGCGTTTCTCCAAAACTCAACCTCTCAGATCTCAACTCCCAAAAAATCCTCCAAACAGCACCCAATTCCATGGCCACCTCTTCCCCGCGTGAGGAAAATGTCTACCTCGCGAAACTCGCCGAGCAAGCCGAGCGCTACGAGGAGATGGTCAAGTTCATGGAGAACGTCGTCTCCGCCGTCCCCGCCCCCGACGAACTCTCCGTCGAGGAAAGAAACCTCCTCTCCGTCGCCTACAAGAACGTGGTCGGCGCCCGACGCGCCTCCTGGAGGATCGTTTCCTCCATCGAGCAGAAGGAGGAAGGACGTGGTAACACCGACCACGTCTCCGATATCTGCGAGTACAGGACCAAGATCGAGGCCGAGTTGTCCGATATTTGCGCCGGAATTTTGAAGCTCCTCGACGAGAAGCTCGTTCCGGCAGCTAAGAGCGGGGATTCCAAGGTCTTTTATCTGAAAATGAAGGGAGATTACCATAGGTACTTGGCTGAGTTCAAGACTGGCGATGACAGGAAAGCCGCTGCCGAGAATACTCTCACTTCGTATAAAAATGCTCAGGTTTATTGACATTTTTGTAATTTAATTTTATCCTTGCATTTGTTAGCCTAGATTTGGTTAATTTTAAACTTGAATCATGATGAATTGTGTTCATATATATTTTGAATCTGGTTGTTGCTCAATTGATGCATAGTTTGATTCATTTAGGTGAATCTAGTTTATCGATCCACATTTGCAGTTTTGCGATGTGTTGCTTATTTCTTACCACATCGGGATTTGCTTCAAATTGCTGGACTTGATAAGGGAACATAAGCGTTAGAAGACACAAACAAATTGCAAGATAAAAGTAATGAAAATTTGCTAGAAAAATGGTTTCAATAATATATTTCCTAATTTTGTCAAGGAGCTTTGATTTGAATCTTGTATTGCTTGTTTCTGGCTAATGATGTATTGTTTAAGATTGGATGGTTTGATTCATTGAGCCATTTGGAGTTATTTCACAATTTGATGCAATTCTTTATTACTGCTACTGTTATTATCTGAACTCTTGAAATGTTGTGGATCTGATTCTATTTTCTTATATGTATATATATATATATATATATATATTACTTTTATGTTTGAGTTGCAAGATCTTTACCTTGTTCTTTTAAAGTTTGCTAAAGTGATTATGACTTGTTTTGTTCACAGTTAAGGTCCTTTATTGGTGTTATATACATATCTTTTGTTCTGTTTTCTTTTCAGGACATTGCAAATTCTGAGCTGGCTCCAACTCACCCTATTCGTTTAGGGTTGGCTCTGAACTTTTCCGTCTTCTACTATGAGATATTAAATTCTCCTGATCGTGCTTGCAGTCTTGCAAAACAGGTAAAGTACCGAGTTTCAGAATTTCGGTTCAGTCTTTGTTCGGAGATTCATTGTTTAGTCTTCGAATTCTATTCCATCAACATGTTTTGTTTCTTTGCTCAGGCTTTTGATGAAGCCATTGCAGAGCTGGATACCCTTGGAGAGGATTCATACAAGGACAGCACTTTGATAATGCAACTTCTTCGAGACAACCTCACCTTGTGGACCTCTGATATGCAGGTAAGAACTTAGACCCGAAGCACTTTGCTTTTCCCCCATCTACATATGTTCCTTTTTATACTTTTTTCTCTCTCTTTATTAACGAATAACGATTATTTGTTTTCATCCATTTAGGATGATGCAACAGATGAGATCAAAGAAGCTCCCAAACGCGAGGAGGAGAAACAAGAGTGAAGTCAATGGTAGTATTTTACTTCTCTGGTTATTTTTGTATGGAGAAGTTGCTTGGTTCCACTATCCCTTGATTCCCTTCGGTTACTTGTTCTGAGGAGACATGCCTCAGTTTATAAACCATTGAAGTACTGCTAAAGATGCCCTTAGTATTTCACTGGCTATATTCTTTTTACAGTTGAAGCTTTCTAATTGCAACGAGGCAGGCTATGTGCACTCTTTCTTAATTGTTTTCTTCACAATAAGGGGGCTGATGATTGAGATATTTTCTAAGCTTAATGTTTGGAAGACGTTTTCTTGGAATTATCAGATTAATATATTTATAATAATCGCATTGTGCATTATATTATTATTATATGCTTGTATCTGCTCATTATCATTTGTCCTTTCCTTTCCAAGCCTTTTACGATTATGTTAAGAAATTGGTCGGCAATAGACTTTAGGTCAGATTATGGCTTTGGCCCTTCTACTATACTCATATTTTAGATTTATTCCACATATTTTAACTTAGAATAATTTGGCCCCTCTATTTTTATGAAATATGGATACTTTTTTCAAAAGTTCATCAGCTTTTAGCATTGGAATTAACTTTTAAAAGTTCTGAAGCTATTTGCATGTTAATTTAGTTGATAAATATTAATATTCCATTTCTATAGTATATTATTATATGGAAAATATTTTTTTATTGTTGTCTTCTGCTGTACCTATGATTTAAACCCTACACTATTACTTGCATTGAATCGAATCATTGGGTTGGATGGGGAAAGTAAAGGGGCAGCTATTATTATTTATTTGTAGTTGAATGAATTAAGGGCGAGAATTGAGTCGTTTTGAAAAAAATTGAGTGGAGTTATATTTCAAAACTCAAACTTAATTTAAATTTTTTGAGTCAAATTATTTGAATTTATGTTTAAATTTAATTATAAATATTTATAATATTACAATAATATTTTATTTTAATTAAACGATTTTCTATAATCATAAACAATATACATATATATTTCTTTATATTTTTTATATATGATATACGTATATCATGCAAAATTAAGATATTTGATTCAAATTTAAAAATCAATTTAGTAATTACTAAAAGTTTCGAGTTATTCGAATTTTATTTTATAACTCAACTCGAATTTTTTTTCTAAAATGAGTCGCTCACCCTTGGAATGAATGGTTGTGGTGTTGAAAGTTCCTAAAGCGGATGGTCAAAATGAAAGAAATATAGTACCGGGGGAGAAGAAAGTGGTTAAAAACAGGAATCCCATTGGTAAGTTATAAAGTAACGGTGGAGGCAGCTCTGCCACAAAACAGGCTGAGGTGTGGCAGAACCACTTGTTATAGCGAAATGGTCTTCAACTACTGACGGAGGAACTTCATTCTCATTCACCTGCCCTTCATTTCAGACCCTCTTCTTCCCACTACCACCTATTTAACCTATCCATTTACATTTGGGAAGATTTGCATAAAATTATTTAGTTTCAAAAATAAATTTTGACAAAAAATATTAAATCAATATAAAATAAGATCAGATTTAGATTCCAATACTAATTCTGACCCAAATAACTCAACTCATAATTAAAATAATAATATTTTTTTCAAGCGAAATCTACCTAATTTTGCTCACCCCTAATTAGCATTAAAATATTAAAATTTATTGCAAGTCAACCATAAACCCATGATACCCCCCCCCCAAACCAAAAAAATCATATTCGAGGCGGTATAAACTTTGCTTAAATGTTCAATAGGCAATTAGAACATAAAAGTAGGAAACCAAAGATATAACTACGAAAAATGTCTTACCAAATATACATATACATCTCTTTCAAGTAAAATAGAGTTGGAATTGAGTCAGTAGAGACCCAAAAGTTTCCACCACAAAGCTCCAACACCTCCCCAGATGATGGCATTAACAATGGCCATTACGAAACCCATTTTGAATAGGTCGGGTAGCTCTACATATCCAGCTGTAAATAAAACAAATCATCCTTAATTAACATGAACATTCATTTTGCATGACATGCAAAATGCTTTGTGGTTCATCTCTTGCTAAATGACTCCTAAAATGCATGCACTCATACATGCATGTGTATATAAATGCATGAGAAAGGAAGTGCAAGAAAGTACAGTATATAGAAAGTGAGGAAACAAAGTCATACTTCCATAGTAGACGGCAGCCTGACCGCTGCTATAATGGGTTAGTGCACCGAAAAGATTGGTATTGAAAGCAAGAGCCAACGCTGCTAATACACCGGGTACTCTGGCTGCTACATGCATAGCAAGAAAAGCGGAGTATAATGCTCCTACATGACCAGTTTGGCTTGCAAATAGGTAGTGGATGAAAAAGTATGATGCCTGAAGAACAACAAATGCACCAGGCCAGCTTAATGAGAGAGATTGAAGGATTTTAGCAACACAACCGGACATCCAACTCACTATCCCGACGTTTGTCAATTGGCCTGCCATGCCTACCAAAACAGCGAACCAGGCCAATGTATCCCATGCCGATTTTTCGCTCAAGCAGTCATCCCAATCGAGCACTCCTAACAGGAGGAGTATTGACAAACCAATCATTGCAGCCACGACACTTGGTATACCGATGGCATCTCTGCACACGGTTCAGGAAATATTAATAAAAAGAAAAAATTGTAAATTACTTATTCAGAAGATAAACAAACCAAAAAAGCCAGAGCTTCGAACTTGCGGCTCATGTCCTCAAATGATAAGGAGAATGGTTATTGCTACACTCATGCAAGTCAAAGATAAAAATCTGATTCATTCTGCAAACGGAATGGACAAAATGGTTTCCATTTCCTTAAAATTTAGAAGGGGTGAATAACATGGAATCAACTCCGGCTGCCGGCAAAACTAGTGTATGTCAAGAGAAACTAAAAAGTTTAGTCAGTAACAAGTGAAAATATATCAATGTGTCGGTGTGATAAACCACCTGCAAAGGGCAAGTTATTGTAAAATTTTATGAACAATCATGCTTCAATACTTGTAACTACATTCCACAAAATAAGAAATGTCCTAACCCTCTAAATCTCCATAGGATTGAAGTTTAACCCTCATTATGACACACAGGTGAGATGGAACATATTGACAATTATATAGATAGAGTGATAAACATATACAAATTTCATGCACACACAAAACTAGATACGAAGTCATCGACTTCTACCAACCAAAAAGAAGACGACGACATCAACTTCTCTGCTCTAAATACAAAGGAACTTGAATTGGTAAGATGAGATGTCACTTACCCACAGACCCACAGAGTAACTGCAAGAAGCATAGTTCCAACCATGATCCATTCATTTCTCGTGACGGGACCCATCTTCTCTAGTTTCTTTGCCGCCATTGCCGGGGCGTCGGGAGTATCTTTGATTTCAGGGGGGTAAAGCTTGTATAAAATAAGCGGAGTTAGCAGTAGAGAAACAAGTGCGGGTAAACTAGCAGCCTTGAACCATGAAACCCAAGGATTTATAACAATAATACCAAGCTCCTCGGCTAATTTGAGGCAAAGCAAATTTTGAGCTGCAGCAGTAAGGAAAAGAGCACTGGAGTTGCCAGAAGCCTGTCATTGACCATCCATTAGCAATGCATGAGTCAAAAGGAAGTCCAGGGATGAATTGAGGAGATGCTTGAAAAATTAAAATTCCCACATAGTTTAGATATTTTCTTTATATTTTCTAATTTCACACTCCGTAAATTTTTAATATAACTTTTTTATTTCGCATTCATGACATAAAATACAGAGTCCATCCCTTAAAGACACTGATGCAAAACAAAGCATTAAACAATATCTATATGGTAACATAGATTCATGAGTTCCAATAGGACATAGAAATAAAAAAGAGACGACTTTATTCAGACAAAGTATCCAGATGAATCTATGACACTAACTTAAGTTCAGACAAAGAATCCAGATGAATCTATGACACTAACTTAAGTCTTCTTCCACAATTTAGAAGTATAAAATTAATTATTGTCACCTATAAATTCAAGTCAACAATCAATAAGTAAACTATGCATGTGATCATCAATAATCAGCTAGAAATAAGCGAACCTGAAACTGCGATTGAACTAGATAACTCCCAAGCTTCCGAGATGATGAGTCTCCTGGCCTACTTCCCGCTGACAGAGACAAGGACTTGATTATGGGTAAGAAAACGCCGCCAGCTCTGGCCGTTGTACTAGGCATCGCCGGCGCAATCAAGGCCTCACTCAAAGTCAACCCATAAGACAATCCCAAGGTGCTTTTTCCCAACCATTTGACGAAATAAGTAGCGATCCTATTACCGAGCCCCGTTTTAACGAACCCACGAGCGAAGAAGAAGGAAATAACAATCAGCCAAATCACTTCGTTGGTGAATGCACTGAAGGCGGTCGTAAACGACAGCGTTCCGGTGACGATGGAAACGGTGAGGCCTAAAAAAGCCCATGATCCGACGGGTAAAGGGCTTAAGACGAGACCGGCGATTGTTGATAAAAAGATGGCGAGGAGTTGCCAGGCTTGCAGGGTTACTTCAACGGGTTTGGGTACGAGGAAACGGACAATGAGGCCTATGGAAATTGAGATAAGGAAAGGGATGAGTTTGGCTCCTTGGGGCGGAGATGGAGGAGGATGGGGTGTCGTTTGAGGTAGTGGGTCGTTGTCGTTCTGAGAAGTAGCACGCGTAGGGGAAAGGAAAGGGTTTCTTAATTTGGGAAGTGGGGAAAACCAGAGAGAATTGCGAGGAGATCGGAGAGTGGGGAATGAAGAAGGCGGTAAAATGGATGGTTGGGGTACTTTAGAGCGGAAATGGAGGGAAGACCGGGAATTGAGCGAGAAAGGAGTGATGGAGGCGGTGGAGACGCAGTGAAGGGTTAAGCTTTCCATGGTTTGGATGCCGAGAAAATCAGCAGAGAAAATGAAGAGAAACGAAAAATCAACACTTTTCAACTGTAAATTGAAAAGGACGAAAATCCCAAGCAAAGTGGTCAATCAAACAAACTGAAGCCGGCAGTAAATTGGCGGTAAACCGGGTCGGGTTGTCCCGACGAAGGGAAAATTTTCCTTGGTTTTTCCTTCCGACTTTAATCCAAATTATTTTTCTTTTCCATTTTCGCTTACCATTGCATTTTTTGGTCAGAAACGAATTCATAATATTTTTTAAAATGGACAGATATATATATATATATATATAAATAATAAACAAATATATAAATAAAATTTTAAAATAAATAACTAATATAAAAAATTAGATTTCTCTTTAATTATTTCTTTGGCAATTCATATATTATAATTCTTTTGAAAATTACTTCTTCACACTTGCTCATCTCCTATCATCCCTTCGCCCTCTGGTGTCAAAATAAGAATACCGACGAAACATTTTGGATATTTCTTTAATTCCAGGATAAACTACATCTACAGTCACTTAACTATTAATATCATTACGTTTTATCATCAACTTTAAGAAAACATACTTTTATCACTGAACTAATCGTTTTGTATCATTTAAGTCATTATACCATTAACTTTGGTGTTAGGATGGTGTCACGTTAAAGACGACCGTTAATTTTTCTTCAATTAGTTATTTATTTTATTATTATTCATTCTAAAATTTTATTTAAATAATGAAATGAGTAAACTTTGAGAGATAAATATGTTAGCAGGCTAATTATTAAAAGGACATGTCATCTTTTCGTTAGGAATGAATTACACAGTGATTAAAATGATAGGAACCGACTAGTCCAATGATCAAAATATAACTTTTTCAAAGTTGAATGATGAAAATATAACCTTACTAATAATCGATGACTTTACATGAAATTTGCCCTTGATTTTGAAGGTGAAAATTCAGGTTTTAGTATGGTAAACGTGAAAGTTTAATTTTTATATTTAAATTCTTCAAATACATATTAAAATTGTAATGATTCGGTTAAAATATATAGTCAAGGCCGGCTTTCACTATATTCCTTGTTTTTTGTTCGAGATGTTTTGCATTCAATAATTTGTATAAATTTGTATTTTTAATAATTTAAACTTTAATTTAATTGATATTAAATATTAATTAAATTAAATTATAAATAATTATAAATAATATTTTGAGAGAATTTTGTATTATTTTATAATTTTAAAAAATAATTAAAAATAATCATATAAGAAAATAATATGATATTATCTTCTAATTATATATATATGACAAATTTTAAATCTAATCTTAATCATACTTACAAGGGAGGGGAAGTGGGACTTTAAGAGATGAAATGGGAGTAATCCGAAGAGGGACTTTAGGAGATGAAATGGGAGTGCTCATAGCAGATGTAGAACCCATAACCTAAAAAAGTATGATAAAAAAAGATGAACAGTTTAATCAATTAATCAAATATGATTGCTCCTAATTATAAAAACTTTAGGATAATTATTAAATTGTTGAATTGATTATAAAATAATTATTATATTATTTTTTACGGTACAAAATAATCATTATATCGTTAATTGTCATTAAATAAAACGATATGACATATTAGATTAATAAGAAATATATTTGATCCATACAAAATAGCTGTAAGTATGCTATTGGAGGAGGTAACTTTTATACTCTTGAATATTTTTTACTTGCTATTTTTAAATATTATTTATTTTTTAAAAATATTTAGAAGTCGATTAATATTTTTTGAATGACTGGCTGGTTGAATGAATTGGGATTAATAAATGTTTATCGACATTTTCTATACTTGATATTGTGATAGTTTAGTCCCTCAAATTGAGATTAATAAATGTTTTGAATGATTGGTTGATTTTTATTTTATTTTTTTAAAGTAATATGGGAAAAATATTCATTTATTGGAAACTATATCAATAACGTATTGACAATTACAGATTGAATAAACACAGTCGAGATTATCATAAAATTTTACAATGATCGCCTAATGTTAGTTTGATAAGCAAAAATATGAACAAGTGAAACAACGACGTATATAAACTGATTGCACCAACGGTTCCGAGCACTAGCTATGGAGGAGAAAAACTTGAAGAATATCCAAAACAACAAACGGAGAGGGCAATCTCCCCTAAAAGGCAATCACATCCATAGAAGCATTTTGAAATACAAACCAATAAGAAAAACTAAAAAATAAACCTCAAACGGAAGTCCACAAACATCGATAGTCATGATATTCTTTACTAGAAAAAAGAACAATAGAAAATATTAATATTAAACTATGATAAAAATAAAATTGAAAACTAGTAAAAATAAAAGAAAATAACAAAAAATTGAACGAAAGGGCAAGGAGTTGGCCGTGAACGGCCACTACCACTGTCCCCAAAGATCTCCTCGATTTGCTTGTAATCCTTGAACTACCAAAGAGAATGAGCAAATTTGGTAACTGCAGCAAAGAATGATTGGTTGAATGAATGCCTTTCTTATTATTATTTAGAAACAAATAAGGGTAAACTATATCAATTATGATTGTCTGAGTAAGTTTTTGTTTTCTCCACTAAAGTTTCAAAAGTAACAAATTAGTCGTTAATATTATCGATTTGTAACAAATCAATTACTCCACCGTCATCCCGTTAAATTGATGACGTGGTAACGTTAATAAAAGGTTAATATTTAGTTTTACCCCTAAACTATTACTAAAACATCAATTATCTCTCTAAACAAGGATTTTATATCTAATTTACCAAAAAAAAATTATAATTTCCATTTTTTACCAAATACCCCTCCACTTCCACTATACTCAAACCACCTTCCTTACAAAAACGAGAAAGATACTTAAACAAACCCTCGCTATATCTTCCCCAAGAAGCAATTTCACATCAATGTCTAAAAAAATACGTAAAAAGTAACTATCATACATACCAAACTTAAACAAACCACAATGACAATATATCTTTTGCTTCTCCCACCTTCTGTTTTTCAGCGGCTCTGCTATCTGGTCTGTTCTTAAGGTTCTTTGAATGACTTAGGTACTTCACCGGCCATACTGAAGACCCAAATGGAAGAAAGGAGCTTGTTGCAGGCAAAACAAGTGTGGGTGGTGCTGTAGATTGAGCCATTAAGATTTCACTGTTGCAGTATGTGCTCCTTTATCTATCACCCTTTGTCCAATTGCCTGTCTTATGTGCACGCTTAAGGGGATATTTGTTTTTGTATCTCTTGACATTTTCAACTTTGTAGGTCACAATTGTAGTTGTTGCGGTGCCTGAAGGGCTGCCTTTAGCTGTCGCCTCAACGTAAGTTTGCTTTCTATGTAAAAGTTTTCGAAATCCAGAACACCCGTGGTCCCTAGCATAAATTTCTTGCCATGTTTTTTTGTCACGTGTTCATTTGTCACCTTATCTTTCTCCTAGTTGTTTTCAGTTGTGGTAATACTTTGGTACTACTCTTCTTGCATCCATTCCAAACTTGTTTGCTTGTGTCTCATGTGGCAGATGTTCACATGCATATGTCTGGCTCATCTATTCCCTTCTCTTTCGGACAACCCCAAACTATTTTAATTTCTTCTCACATTCATCCTGCTTCTTTCTTTTAAATTTAAACAATTTGAGTTGGAATTCAGTGAGATGATTCATACCACGAACGAAATTCAAGCATTCTCACCTATGGATCTCTTCATCCAACTTTATTCTCTTACTTCATAGTCCTTTTTTAATATTCACTATGCTTCTTCTACAACTATTCGAAGTTTCTTTTTTGTTGCAAGCAATGCGATCAAGTTAGGAGTTTCTGGACAAAAACACATCTTATTTTGTCTGATTAAAAAGGGCAAGATTGTTAAACGAATTTTCTGTCACGGTTACTTGGATGTTAAGCATTCAAGTTCCATTCTACATCTTGGAGAATAAGCAACAAACAATGAATAAATTCGAAACGGACGGCCAAATGCACCGTGCTTCAGAAACCAATGAATCAACGATAGAAAGAGTGAACACCAATGGACTTTGTTTTACACATACTATAAACAACTAACTGATCCAACTTAATTCAAAGAAATGAACCTCCTCTCAAAGTAATGAATGTAGGATAACATAATATGATGCTCGTATTGGTCTCAGCCGTCTATGTTAATGTAATTAAATTTTATTTCAGAAAAAGATTATCGGACTTATTTTACTTATTTTTAAAAATATTCATCTTATAAAATTATGTCATAACTCATTGATTTTAAATTTTTGGGTAAACTACAAGTTTAGCACTCCAATTATATTTTTGTTTCGTTTTGGTCATTCAACTATTTTTTAAATAAGCATACCTAACATTTAGTTTTGATTTCATTTTGGTCCAATACCGTTAGAAATTAACGATGATGCTAACATGTCATCATAAGGAAATGTCATGTCATCATTGAAAACTAAAATAAAAATGTCACATCATCAATTTTGTTAATTTTTAACAATAAGTGACCAAAATAAAATCAAAATGTAATATTAGGTATGATTTTGGAAAGAAAATACTTGAATGATCAAAATAGAAGAAAAATGCTAATTAAGGTACTAAACATATAATTTACCCTTAGTTTTTTTCCTTCCCTAATTTTGAAAACTCCCCAAGTATAAGTTAAGGGGTTGTTTGTTTGCCTCTTAATGGAATCATTCAGCGTTGAATGTTAAACCATTCAGTGCTGAATGTTGAATCGTTCAGCATTCAGCGCGTTTGTTTCGCACATCTGAATGATTTAGTGCTGACTGATTCAACAAAATAGTGCTGAATGATTTATCACGGAAGTACATTCTGAATTATTCAGAGCCATTATCAAACAACATGTCACATTCAGAGCTAATTCATATAGAGCATCTGAATCATTCAGTATTTGAATCATTTAGCGCTTAATCATTCTGAAGTAAACAAACAACCCCTAAGTAATTAGTCTCGTTCGAATCCAAAAACATAATATAAATTAAAAGAGTAAAGTACACCATACACCACTTCCTTTATAATAAGACTATAATTGAGTCGTTGAATTTTCAAAAACAAAATTGAATCGCAAAATTAAATTTATAACAAATTAGCGATTTGAGTTTTGAATTTCTTAAAGATTGGTGTTCAATCTTATGATGAACACCAATCTTGACATAGATCTGATTAAGAAATTTGACATAGATCGGATTAAGAAGTTTGAACACTTTATGGAATTAAGTAAATTTTGAGAGACATTATTTAAAATCCACTTGATAAATTAAATGAGAAGATAGAAGTGAATCTTATGATGAAATTTGAGGTACATCGGTCCCTATAAATGATTAGTTTTTATATTGCACGTGACTTGATTATTACAATCGATTAATTGAGTGCCTTAATTATAATATTTTAAAATAAATAGATTTTTATGATTAAAATACTCAACGTCACATTTCTGGTTGTGATTTAACATAAGAGTGACTTGATTATAATAATCAATTAATTAAAAAATTAAATTCTAATGTTTTGAAATTCTATGTTTCATTTTTCATCTTTACTATAAAATAAGTGACCTCTAGTGTAATTCACTCTAACTAAAAACCCCGGTTGCTGGCAAAAGCTAGTAAAAAAACTTAGTGAAGCTAAAGCTAGAAAGATCTCTATCAATTTCCATGGCGTCGCGCTCCCTCTTACTTGGTTTCAGACGGTAACTATCTTTATTCTCATAATTTACCAATTAATGGAAAAATAAGACTAAATTTTTAAACTGAATCCCGTTTACAACTCTCATCAGCTGTTTCAAAATTAAATCCTTTCAATTCCCAAAGATTTAACTTTTCAAATTTGTGAAATACATACATGTATATGCATATGCAGAAGAAGCAATCAATGGTGCATGTCGAGGCTGTTTTCGTCGGGTTCCGTCAGCACCGAATACGTGGACGATTACCCCATTGATTCGGAGACCGATGATCTGAAAATCCGCATTTTTAGGTTGCGGCTGCCAAAACGGAGCGCCACAACCGTTATAGAGAAATGGGTGGGTGAGGGCAACCGGGTTTCCATCTCCGACCTCCGCCAAATTTCTAAAGACCTTAGAAAATCCCAACGTTTCAAGCATGCTCTCGAGGTACTTTTCCTTCTATATGTTTTTAAGGTTTTAGTGCGATTGAAGTCAATTAAAGTGAAATTAATATTTTATGTGTAATGGGGTTGGTTTGATTTTGCCTAAAGAATCTAGAAATCCGTTATTAGCTTAATAATCCTTGATGAATCTTTCGTTATTTGTGGCTTGAGAAATATAGTTTTTGAATCATTAGGTTTGAGTAATTATGATTGACTAGTAACCCATTGATTAAGAATGCTATCAGCTTGGAGCTTGTCTTAATCTAATGTTAATGTTAAACAACCGACGAATGACAGAGTATCTGACTATATATATTTGGTTAATATCTCTCGTCTGTGTAAGATTTTTAGCAACACATCAGGCATTGGCATTTGATTAGCTTAGATGTTTAGCTATACAGAAGCAGTAATTTTATGGTCATGTTTACTATGGATAAATATCTATCGTCATCTGTAGTAGGCTTTATATTCTCTACTTTAAGGTTTGCTTGAAGTGCTCTATTTACCTCCTTCACTTTAGAGTTATTCAGTTCCTTTGATCTAATGAAACGGAAAACATGGTTATCAATTCACAGTTTTAATAAATTGAATCGATTTCTATTATATTGTCTCAGAGTCACTTGCCACTTAAGGTGTTCTTTTTGTCAGTTATAAAAGGGCATGTTATGGAAGTTTGTTTTGAAGGGAACTTAATACAAATATCCAGGATGAGTTATTTCAGGAGTGTGAAATATAAAGGTCCGGTGCCATTATATGTATACATATAGGGATGTCTCAATTGTTTTTCCACTTTTCTTATTATATTTGTTAATGAGTTGCACCTTGCAACATTTGGGTTAGTTTTCCCCCCCTTTCTAATATACTTCAAAAGGAGTAATATCGGAAACAAAGTTTCACCTTGCATTTGTGTGGAAATGTTTGTACCTTGTTGTTTGTGTGGCTTTTGATTTCACCATTAGAATTGATTGTCAACTCTCTTATCTTACCAAATCAAGCTTGCAGATATCTGAATGGATGGTTAGTCATGAAGAATACAAGTTATCAGATACCGACTATGCCATTCGTATTGACTTGATGACAAAGGTTTTTGGTGTTGATGCTGCTGAACGCTATTTCGAATGCTTACCTCCGACTGCGAAGACTAGTGAAACATACACCGCTCTTCTCCACTGTTATGCCGCTGCAAAATTGACTGAAAAGGCAGAAGAGCTTTTTGAGAGGATAAAGGGGTCAAACCTCTCATTCTCTGCCCTTCCCTACAACGAGATTATGACACTTTACATGTCAGTTGGGCAAGTAGAGAAGGTTTCTTCCGTTGTTGAAGAACTGAAAAGACAGAATGTTGCACCAGATATCTTTACCTACAATCTTTGGATAAGTTCGTGTGCTGCATCTCTAAGTATTGATCAAGTTCAAAGGGTTCTGGAGGAAATGAGATGCGACTCTGGTTGCAATGAGGATTGGAAGAGATTTATCAACCTTGTAAATGTTTATGTAACTGCTAGCCGTCTTGTGAGTACCAATTCGAGCTCTCCTATTGAAATTGAGAAAGGGATCACACAAAGGGAATGGATAACATACGACTTCCTTGTGATGTTGTACGCAGGCTTGGGGAACAAAGATAAAATTGATCAGATATGGAAATCTCTAAGAATGACAAAACAAAAAATGACAAGCAGAAATTACATATGCATTCTTTCGTCATATCTTATTCTTGGGCACATGAAAGAAGTGGTAGAGGCTTTTAATCAATGGAAGCAGTCGACAACTACTGAGTTCAATATATCTGCTTGTAACAACGTTTTGACTGCATTTGAAGATGTCGGGTTGACGGAGAAAGCCAATGACTTGCATATGCTTCTGATTCAGAGCAACTGCAGTCCCACAAACAAGTAGGAATCTATTGCAGTTGAATGTGGCTAGGAAACGAAATTTGCGAGAACACCACCATGGAAACTGTACTTCGTGTTCCTACAAATGGCCGACTATTGATACCGTTTATCGTTCCATTTAGCACCCTTTTTCTGAAATGTTAGTATGATCTACAGATTCTTGAAACTTATGTTATTTCCCTTCTGTGTTCTTTTTCATAATTGATGGATGATGAGAAAAAGATACAGCTGCTGTTTGTTTTGATCGTATATATATATGTATGGATTATTATCTGATACGCCGTCAGTAAAAAAAATAATTTCACAAGTGACCTTAGGACGATGACGTGTTATATTTATTTATTTTTCAACTTGTTGCTAAGCTTTTGGCTTTTGGCCTTTGCATGAATTCGAAGCAAGGTCAATAGAATTGGAAGCTGTGATTGTGGTGTTGACTAATTTACATTGAAGTTTGAAATGATTTGTAGGCCAAATAACTTCATTATTTCAATGCATGCATTGCACTTTGGGAATCATCTTATTTTTCCCCATTGAAGTTTACACGATGACTTCAAGTATAATCCATACCTAGCTGGCTACTTAAAAAGAATAGAAAGATAATAATATATTGGGAGAATTTCACGATCCAATTTTTTCAGTTCTTTATCCAACCATATATTATGTAAAATCTCGCCTTGGAACCATAGCTTAATTTCAGAAGTAAATGAAGATATAAAATCTTCTTTTTTTAAAAAAATAAATAAATAAAGTGGGGTTGCAGATTGCAGTATTAAGCAATAAACGTTCATTTTCTATGCCGACTCTAGCCTTGTAATTCACTGGTTTCTTTTAATTATTATTATTCTTACTTTATTGGCAACCAAACTTAAAATACACATTACTGAAATTGAAAAATGTTTCAGAAATTTGGAAACTTTTCCCTTTATTTATATCTTCCTTTTATTAAAAGTAGTAGTTTTTTAATCATAAACTAAAAGGTGGTGGTGTCATTTATGTAATGTATATAATATACATATTTCGAGAGGAAAGGATCTGAACTTCTGATATTTTTATCAGTTTTGAGAAATTGAGAAAACCCAAATTTCCATTCAACAACTCTAAATTATTCAAATCATCAAACTACAGAGATTCACTTCCAAATTCCTCTATGGCCATGAACATGCCTTCTCCTCGACTTCATAGACCTAAAACCTTCAAACAAGACAACAACTTGTGTTATTCTCCCAAGCTCTGCCTTTACATTCTCGCCCTCTGCATCACCCTCTTACTCCTCTTACAGTTCCAGTCCTTACAACAATGGCAAAACTTAGTCTTCAAATACAGAGCCTTAGCCTCTCCCCAAAACTGTACCACCACCACCGCACAAGACCCCGAATCCATATCCCAAAAACTTCGAGATTCCGTCACGTTTCTCCCGTTGAAAGACCTGCGTTTCGCTAACCAGCCCCTTGATGGCCACACATGGTTCATGAGTTCCATGTACGATACACGCGAGGAAGGCGAGGTCCAGTACCAACAGTTCCCTTCGGAATCCTCCAAAGGCCGGTTACTTTGCCTTAAAGGCCGCGACAATCACGACGGTTCATGGAACTACTACGCTTTGGCTTGGCCCGAGGCTCTTCCTTCCAATGCTACCCTAATGAAAGGCCTCACTTTCGTGGCCTACAACCATTACAATTTCGATAACATCTGGCACGGTCTCTCCGCCGTTATGCCTTTTGTCGCTTGGCATCGGAAGAACAACTGTGAAACCCCATCCAGATGGGTGCTTTACCATTGGGGCGAGCTGAGGTTCAAGATGGGGACGTGGTTGAATATCTTGATGGAGGCTACGTTCGGCCAGCCTCCTTATATCGAAGGGTTTACAGATATAGAAGATGACAGTCAACCCGTTTGCTTCGAGAAGGCTGTGGTGATGAGACAGCGAGGGAGGGATGTCGAGGGAGAGAAGAATGGAAGTTTATGATCTCATAAGGTGCAAGGCTCGGGTTTACTGTAATGTGAGCGTTCAAAGAAGGGTTAACCAAGAAGGACCCGACATCGGGATGACCTTGCTAATGAGGACCGGACCGAGGTCTTTCAGGAACGAGACGGCCGTCATTCGGATCTTTGAGAAAGAGTGCAACAAAGTAAAGGGATGCAGGCTAATGGTGGCTTACTCCAATAATCTCACCGTTTGTGAACAGGTAAATTTCTCTTGTGTGCTAACTAACCTTATGGGTAAACGCAGTGCAATTTTTGTTAATTAATATAGCATTTGTTTTAATTGTGTTGCATTATTGAAAGCACTACAATTATTGGTAGGTAATATAGCATTTTCTTTTAATTGTGCATTACACTAGTGAAAGCATCTCCTATTAAAATAAGTTATAGTGGGGAATATTGGGATTCATGTGGCTCCATCTCCACTCGCACTCGAATGGATTTCTTTTATAGTATAAAGTGGTTATAATATAGTATATGTTTAAAATTTTCTTAGTCTATTGTTAATGTTCATACACTCTACAAATGCAACTCTTCGAACTTGGATCATTTTAAAGGAAACAAAATTTCATTTTATCAGTGAGACCACTCAGTGGATTCATGTTTAAGGCTAGAACACTCAGCATTGATATTTCAACTCAAGGAAGTAATTTAATATTTGATGAAATTGCAGGTGAAGCTAATGAGTTTAACAGACATTCTAATGTCACCCCATGGTGCTCAACTCACCAACATGTTCCTAATGGACCGAAACAGCAGCGTGATGGAGTTGTACCCCAAGGGATGGCTAAAACTTGCGGGCGTAGGCCAATATGTGTATCATTGGATAGCCAGCTGGTCCGGGATGAGGCACCGAGGGGACTGGAGAGATCCCGACGGGGAGCATTGCCCTTACTCGGACGATGACCGTCGATGTATGTCGTTCTACAAAAATGGTCTGATCGGATACAATGAGACCCATTTTGCCGATTGGGCTAGAAATGTTCTGAACGATGTTGAAACAAAGAAATCCGAAGAAGAGGCTTCAAAACATGGATCAGCAAGTTGTTATTGCAGTTAATTGGGTTTCGTTTTGTTTCTTTATGGGAGCATAATTTATACTCAAAACTTTTTGTTGACCCAACCTCAACAGGACTGCATCTCAAGTGGATTTCATTATCAAACTTCAAGTGACAAAGGAAAAAACAGAGTTAAAAGTGGGTCCATCTTCATTCTATTATTTTTTTTATCATTATTATTTAATATAACTTTTATTGACATATATAAATATGATTTATATGATTATGATTCATGTATGAAATAGTAATAGATAGAAGGAAAATGAATACATTAAGAATCGGTTAGTCTAGTAGGATGATATACTAGATCCTTCTGAATAAGATTAGGAGTTCAAATTTTGATGTTTGCAAATGGAGCAAACTGAGATGGGAGGGTTGCCCTCGACTCTGTAGTAATCAATCTGGATTAGTTGATTAATAAACTATCATATCTCAATCAACATGTTAACATCCAGTTGATAAGACCGTTAATTTTTTAATGTAAAATGACGAGTTTGGAACATAATGAATAGTCGGGTGATCATTTTGTAACTTTTAATAGTCGAATGACTCAACAAAGTAACTTACTATAATCAAGGGAACATTTTATAACTTTTAATAATCGGGTGACTCAACAAAGTAGTATTCTATATTTGGGGTCTCATATGTGTACTTTTTATCCTTTTTAAGATAATATTTATTCAAAAATAATACAGTGATATTGTTGGCCCTTAGGCTATGCTTGATGCTTGATATTAATATATTTTTATTAATTTTATATAA